AGGAGGCTTCCCCCTCCTCATATCTAATTATCCTCCTGCTCTTGCCACCCCTTCGTCCTTCTTCTGCTGCTGTTTCTTCTTCTCCCACGCCCTCATCTGCCTGTGTACTGCATGTGACGGTCCGGAGTAGAGGAGACGGCGTGGCCGCTAGGCAACTTGGACTTCAACGGTGGAGGACAGCTAGGGGAGGAGACGAGGAGGGCGACGACAGCGCACGCGGACGACGAGCGAAGGGAGCGGAGGAGATGCGAGGAGGAGGCGGCGGAGGAGATGCGTGGAGGATCAGAGGGAGAGAGGGGGGGGGGGGGGGGCGAGGGCGAGGAGGAGACGCGAGGAGGCGAGGAGGACGAGGTGCGAGCCAGAGCAGCTGCGGTGCGGAGGTGCGAGGACCGGGGAAACCAAAAGGCACCCACACCGCTATACAACACCACAGCTGGACCTCTCTCCCGGGGGATGCGCTCCGAGCCGGATATGTCGAGGCGAATGCAGCCCCATGGCGACGAGGGCCTCCCAGAGAGGCCCCGAAAGGGGGCAGCGAGGGTAGGGCAGCGGCAGGGGGGCCTCTTCTGCGAGGCCGATGTGGCATCGCAGCAGCAATTCGGCCCCTGACTCTCGTCCTGGGCTCGGTTTAGGGAAGTGATGGATTGCGGGGTCCTCACGAGGGAGAAAAACCATCACTTCCCTAATCTGGGGCCCCTGGGGCCTCAGTGGGCCCTGGGGCCCAAAATTGGTGAAGTGATGGCTTTCGGGCCTCGGACCTTCCTCCGCAGCGAGGCCAGGGAGGGGCGGCGAGAGCAAGCCGAGCAGAGAATGCCTCCCGAGGACCGTGACGCCGTCCGACATCGCGCCGGCCCGCCGCGGACCGCGCGCGCGCTCCGCTTGGCGCCCTCCTCTGCCGGGGGCCGAGTCTCCGGACGGGCTCGGGCCCCTGCCGCGGACGCTCGGCACTCTCCGGCGGCGAGTGCGCGCGCGGGGGCCTCCCTCTCCTCCCCGTGGCTGCCGCTGCCACTGCTGCTGCTGCTGCTGCTGCTGCTGCTGCTGCTGCTGCTGCTGCCCAGCCTCGAACGTATCCCTATCCCCAAAGACTGACGCGCCAAAAAGGCGATGACAATCTTAGGGATTCGCCCTCAAAAAATTATCCGGGCGAAAGACCCAACCATATGCAATTATGAATACCGCAATTGTGAATACCATCTTCGCCCGCGCTCCCTATGTGGCCACGGCTTCCCGCCGGAGCCCGACATGCTCAGGGACACGTTCGTGGTCGTCTTCGCGGGCGCCGACGACGACAAGGACGGCGTCCCTCTCACCGAGGAGCAGAAGCAGGAAAGGGCCTTGAGAGCCATGAGGGAGGAGGTGGCGTTGCACGTCGACAAGGCGGAGTACGACGCCCAGGCGCGGTTGTTGAAGCAGCACAACTATGGGGCCACGATCCTCGTGAGGGGTGTGCCGAAATGGCCCGGGGCCGCCATGCGAACCCTGCCACTGGCGCCTTCCGTGGAGCTCCAGTGGGGCCACGGTCCTCGTGAGGGGTGTGCCGAAATGGCCCGAGGCCGCCATGCGAACCCTGCCACTGGGGCCTTCGGTGGAGCTCCCTATGGGGCCACGATCCTCGTGAGGGGTGTGCCGAAATGGCCCGAGGCCGCCATGCGAACCCTGCCACTGGCGCCTTCGGTGGAGCTCCCTATGGGGCCACGATCCTCGTGAGGGGTGTGCCGAAATGGCCCGAGGCCGCCATGCGAACCCTGCCACTGGCGCCTTCGGTGGAGCTCCCTATGGGGCCACGATCCTCGTGAGGGGTGTGCCGAAATGGCCCGAGGCCGCCATGCGAACCCTGCCACTGGGCCTTCGGTGGAGCTCCCTATGGGGCCACGATCCTCGTGAGGGGTGTGCCGAAATGGCCCGAGGCCGCCATGCGAACCCTGCCACTGGCGCCTTCGGTGGAGCTCCCTATGGGGCCACGATCCTCGTGAGGGGTGTGCCGAAATGGCCCGAGGCCGCCATGCGAACCCTGCCACTGGCGCCTTCGGTGGAGCTCCCTATGGGGCCACGATCCTCGTGAGGGGTGTGCCGAAATGGCCCGAGGCCGCCATGCGAACCCTGCCACTGGCGCCTTCGGTGGAGCTCCCTATGGGGCCACGATCCTCGTGAGGGGTGTGCCGAAATGGCCCGAGGCCGCCATGCGAACCCTGCCACTGGCGCCTTCGGTGGAGCTCCCTATGGGGCCACGATCCTCGTGAGGGGTGTGCCGAAATGGCCCGAGGCCGCCATGCGAACCCTGCCACTGAGCTCCTATGGGGCCACGATCCTCGTGAGGGGTGTGCCGAAATGGCCCGAGGCCTTCGGTGGAGCTCCCGAACCCTGCCAACTGGGGCCTTCGGTGGAGCTCCCTATGGGGCTACGAAACGCTGTGCTGGGTGGGTGAAACGCAAGGAGGAGGGGGAGGGGCAGCGGGAGGAGTGGACGCGGGGCGCTGTCTCTTCAAAACGAGGACCCAACACCACAGGATGGTTGGGAATAAGGGAATCCCTAAGATTGGCATCGTGATGAGGAGGTGCCCAGCATAGGGATAGGGATATGTTCCAGGCTGGTAAGCTGCTGCTGCTTCTGCTGCCCTGAGATCCGCCGAGGCTCCGACAAAGAACGGAGCAGCCGGTTTGGAACCGCGTTCGGCCTCCAGGGGCCATCGCCGCGCTGCGGGAGCGTCAAAGACGACTCAGGACGAAAAACTGACCCTAGAGAGAGGTCGTCTGGACCTCCGGGGCCCACGGATGGAAAAAATGGAACAGCTGGATGTCTGGGTGCCGATCCTCCTCCTGCTCGTCCTGCCCCCCCCCCCCACCCCACCTCACTCCAGAAAAGAATCGGCGGCGAGCCCGGGGGGAATGAGAAAGGGCAGGCCTTCTCGAAAAGCTAGGAAGTCCCCCGGCCTTCTGGATCAGTCGACTGGACGACGCTCAGGCGTGCAACGTCCCCGGGATGGACTTCCCCGCCCCGAGGGGGCCCTTGGCGGCGGCCATACCATGACTGCAACGAAAACCAGCTTGAATTGTCAGCCTGAGGTTGATACGATGTGATGAAACACAACGGCAGCATCCAATCTCGCATCGGTTGCCACATGTGAGATGTTGCTACCAGGACGTGCAGTCCCACTTACACTGCACATGTTTGACGGCCACTTGGGGCGCTGCGCAGCATGCGGCTGTTCCGAGCGAGGCCCGACAAAAAATCCAGTCGGGGATCTCCTGACCCGGGTCAATCCAGACCCGGATCAATCAAGCCCTGCAGGATCCTGCAAGATCCTGCACCCAAACCCGGGTCAGTGCGAAAGATCCTGCAGGATCCTGCACCCAAACCTGGGTCAGTGCGCCCCTGGCCCTGCAGGAACCTGCGAGATCCGGCGCTCTGGCTGACCCCTGTTTGCACTGACCCCCGTCTCTTGAGCCCCGATCCTGGGGGCCAAGAGTGCCGCCGGAGTGCCGCCAGAGGCCCTAGGAGGGCCCCATGCGGTCAGGACGCCCCGGCGGTTGGAGGATGCGCATGCCGCATGCCCGTCTCCCCGTTCCCCCCCCCCCCCGGGCCCGACCCGCCGTGCCTCTCACCCTGAAGGCTCATCATTCGTGGAACGGAGTGCAAGGACGGGAAACGTATGAGGGCACGCAGCGACAAGGGCAGTATACAGTCCTGCGTCATGCGAATGCAAGCGCCAAAAGAGGACAACAAGATGGAGACGGAATGCATGACGGCACGCAGCGGCAAGTGCATGGGCATAACCGCAGTAATACGAGCGCCAAAGAGGCGGACAAAGTGAGAAGGCTCGCGAAAGCAGGCAAGCTAGCTGACAACTATGAGGGCGGAAGAGGCGGAGGAGGAAAGAAGGGTGGGAAGATGAGAGTGACAGTACATGGACAATCTGTCCGAACCCAATGCAGACTCAGAAGAATACTGACCCCCTCCGCCCCCCTTATCGATGCTGAACTAGGTATGGGTGGTGATTTGGGGGTTCGAACATTTTTGTCCACTCAAGCCCCCTTGCTTGCCACATCCTCCAATATCAATTTTCGGGCCGGGCGAAAGGGGGGGATAGCAAAGGGGGGGTTTGAGAATCAGCTCGCGTGGCTGATTTTCCCGGCGCCTCCCGGCGCCGGGAGGCGCCCATGTATCGAGGAATGGGCCTGGCGGCGGGGCCGAAACCATCTGCGTGCAGCAGATTTCGTACCCCCCCCTTTCCCTATCCCCCCCTTTCGTTCGGCCCGAAGTTTGGGGGTCCGAGGGGGGCCATCGTGCGCCGCAGGGCTCGGATATAGTGTCCATGTACGGGCGGAGGCGGACGAGCAGACGTACAACGAGGGCGGAAGGGCACGAGAGACGACAGTGGAGACCTGCAGGTACGAAGATAGGGGCAACAAGGGGAAGCAGAATTCCAGCAGGCTGGATGGCAAGCACAGAGGGCAGAAAGTCCACCCCGATAAGAACCCCCCCCGACACGCGAAGCCGTTTCGCAAACGCACCCAGAGACGCAATCAAACAGGGCAGGGCTGCTTGGTAAACGCCCAGGGCCGTTTAGCAAACGCCAATTGTCCGGCCTGGTTTTTTCCTTTTCGGGGATCTTCTGAACCGGGTCAATCCAGACCTGGGCCAGCAGGAAACCAACAAACTGCAATGCAGGACAAAAACTGCAACGCAGGTCTTCGCAAACCCGGGTCAGCCAATATGCGGCCGCCTCGCGGCCACGAGCGGCTCGCGAACCCGGGTCAACCAGGGGGTCTTCGCGGGATCCTGCAGGATCCGGTGCCCTGGCTGACCCCCGTTTGCATTGACCCCCGTCTCGAGGCTCCCGACTTTGCCTCCACCTCCGTCTTCCGGCATCCACCACGACAGCGACGATCCAGCACGACGACGACGACGACGACGTCGACGACGACGACGACGACCACCACCACCGCCACCACGACGACGGCGACGACTGCGAGGGCCAACGACCACGGCCACTTCTTAGGCCCCGACCTTTCTTGAAAGCAGGCGCGCCGGCGAGCCGCGAGGAGCTGCTCCGCGAGGCGGCCGCGACGGTGCACGTCGGCTCCACTCTGCGGCGCCCGCGCGGCGGACCTGCACGGCCACCTCGCTCCTCCCTCCCTCCTCCTCCTCTCCTCCTCCTCGTGGAGGCCTCCTCCTCCCTCCTCCTCCTCTTCCTCCCTCCCTCCTCCCTCCTCCCTCCTCCTCCTCCTCTTCCTCCTCCCTCCTCCTCCTCCTCCTCCTCCTCCTCCTCCTTCCTCCTCCTCCTCCCATTCCGAGCACCCCGAGAAGCATCGTAGCAGTGTCTGCACGGCACGCTGGCGCGGTGCCGAGCGAGCACTGCCTCCCAGGGCCCTACGCTCCAAGGTCCTGCGGCCTCAACTTTTTCGTGGTGCTCGAACTTCTTTCTGGCGGTCAAGGCTAGAATGAGTTAGAACATCATGAGACGAGGAGGAGTGGGGGGTAAAGGCGAGGATGACCATGGGGGAGGGAGGGGAGCGAGAGAGAGGAAGGGCACGCGAGGACGAGCAGGAGCCAGGAGCGGGAGGGAGGAGGCGCGTGACCACGACGAGCAGAAACAAGCAGAGCTCGACCAAAACAGTGTCTCTCGTTTTGCTTTGTTTGCGTGTTCCCTCGTTCTGTCTCTAATCCGCCTTTGCTGCGAAACGAAGCCGACACGGAAAAGTCCCACAAAACCGCCCAAACACCGTTCAGGTCGACCCCTGGGAAAAAAAGGCGGGGGGACCACCTTTCGTGTCTGTCGGTCAGCTGAAGCAGATGGCAAGACTGAGTTTAGTGGTACGTGGTTTAGTAATGTGTAGCAGCCCCCCCACACTAACCGGAACTGCCGTCACCCGACAAACACCAGATATGGCAGACCTGGTTTGATGATTCTGGCAAATGTTGGGGGCTTTGGGGCCCAATCATTAACCGGCTCCCCTTACCCGGGGTTCTGGCTATACCCGAGCAGGGGTGGTTTCGCACCCACTGGCCGCTGCAAACGGTGCAGGATGAGGCGCCCGGAAAAGGATGAGGCGGGGTTCCGGAGCACTGAAGAGGGAGCAAGAGGAGGAGAAACATGCAACGCGCCTTTGCCTACCTGCGAAGAGGCGGGTCCAGAGGAGGAGGAGGAGGAGGAGGAGGAGGAGGGAAAGGAGGAGGAGGAGGAGGAGGGAAAGGAGGAGGAGGAGGAGGAGGAATGAGGAGGAGGAATAGCGAAGGGGTGAAACCAGGGGTGAAACGCATGTGCAGCATGCGTGGGAATCTCGACAATGGTGTCAGGCGGAATTTCAGCAGCGGCGCTGCATCATGCCCTCTACCTGGTCACAGCGAGCCGTGGTGCGCTACGCAACGGCAATCGAAATTCACAGTAAGGATGCGCTGTAAGGATCCAGGCCCCTTGGACGCCCATGTCGAGGCTCTTCGAGCGGGGCTGGCCATCGACCGTAGTTAAGGATGAACCGAAGAGGCAACGATACGAGGTTACCCTTGGGAAGGTTACACGTCGGTCGGAAGAGGTAGGCAATGCACATGACGTAGGAAGACGGAAACATTAGCTTGGGTTCAGGCCCTCCCAGGAAATAACACAGCGCAGCAAAGGCATGTTGGTTCTTGAAATGGGAGGGCGCTTGACACAGACAGAGATCCGAGAATCCACAAAATACCTACCTCCAACGACCGGCGTGGACCCATCCTTACAATCGTTCTCGACTGCACGCTCACCGCGACCTCCAAGAACCCGCTGGGAACTGGAGGGTCGCCCGTGCACCCGGGAGCGGAGGGCAGCAGGGCCCTCGGGGGGTGGGCAACACGGCACCCCGCGGGGCGGCGTCAGGGCGAGCCGGTGACGTTGGCGCGGAACGAGGAGAGCGAGGGCTCAGAGGCCGCCCTGCGCAGCGCGCCGGAGACCTCTGCGGACGCCGAGTCCACGAGGGCGTCGAAATACCTCACCTGCATGTGGGGATGGACGGGGGTCAAGGGGCCCAGGGACACACAAATATACACACAAATAAGAGGATTCCCCATATCTCCCCATATTTTCTGGGTTTTTGTCTTCCCCCCCACTTCCCATATTTTCGCATATTTTCCTGGGGGTGGGCGATTAGTTGTGTCTGTGTGTCTTTTCCCCTACTGAAGGGGCCGGGGAGTGCGGAGACGACCTGGCGACCTACCGCCAGCGCGCGGGCTTGCGCGGGCCGCCAGGGCGGCACGCTGCATCGGAGGCGTCGCGCGAACCCTCACGCGGGCAGCGTGCGCGCCAAGGTCGGCGCAAACGACCCCGTTTTCGTTGCTAGGGCTCCCAACTTCGCGCTCTCGCGCTCCCCGAAGCGCGGAGCGCGAATAACTTCGCGCTCTCGCGCCGCCCTCCCAAAGGGAGAATAGGAGGGCGAGGAGGAGGGGGAGAAGGAACGAGGACCGCGAAGCGCGAAGCGCGAATAACTTCGCGCCCTCGGGGGAGCCCTTGCGTTGCGTCGCTCGCCTGTCTGTGGGGATGGATGGGGCTGGGGGAGCGGGGAGCGGGTATTCCAAATCCCTTATTAATCGTCCCCCGGGTCCGGTTTTTTGAGGCGCCTTTTTGGTAATTGAGGGGGTCCGGTTTATGAGGTCGCTTTCTTCGGGGGTCTGGCTTACTAAGGCGCCCCCTCGAAGAGGGGGTCCGGAATATTAGGTCGCATTTGGAGGGGGGTCTGGTTTTTTAGGGGGGGGTCGATTAATAAGGGATTTGGAGTAGAGGGAAACAATTAGTGAACCCCCCCCCTGCCCCCCAAAACTCAAAGTTGGCACGCGCGGGGGAGACTGCTGTCGAGGTGCAACCCATCAGGCCCACCGCCAACTTTGAACATTGGGGGAGGGGGAGGCGTTCACAGATGAATGTGGCATGAGTGTTCGCTATTTTTGTTCCGAGGCCTGGCGCGAGCATCGGGGGAGCCCGAGATGGGGGAAGGAGAGAGTCCAAGACGCACACCGATAGGACTGCATCGGGATGCTCCCCGTCCTTCCCCTCCCCGGTGGCGAGGCAGCGGGAAGTGCAGCGCTGGGGCAGGACAGTGCGAAGGACGGAGACGGCACCGCGGGGAATACCAACAAGCGCGCGCTCCTCCTCCTCCTCCTCCTCCTCCTCCTCCTCCTCCTCCTCCTCCTCCTCCTCCTCCTCCTCCTCCACTCCTCCTCCCCCCTCCTCCTCCCTCCTCCTCCTCCTCCTCCTCCTCCTCCTCCTCCTCCTCCTCCTCCTTCTGCTACTCCTCCTCCCATGTACCATTTGAGCTTCCGTGCCTCTGCCCGAGAGGCACCCGGGGTGACGCCCCATCCGGCCCGGCCGTGGCGGGAAGGTGCGCTCGGAGCCGCAGCTGCAGCGCTGCCCCTGGTGGCCACACGCGGCACGCGGTGCTGCGATGGCCGGGCCTGCGCGACGTGCAGGGGATGCGGGCAACATCTATACGTATCCACATCCGGTGCGTCTTGGACTTTCATGGAAAAGGCGCCGCAAGGCCGAGGCGCACTGGATGTGGACAGACATAGCCTCTGGAGGCCCGATGTGCATCCAGATCCCACATCCAATGCGCCTCGGGCTTCTGGGGGAGGGGCCCAAACCTCCAAGCGGCAGTGGATATGAACACGAGTTTGGCCCGCAGGGAAATGCTCGGCAAACACACGCATGTGTCGCGGCGGCAGCGCGAGGAGCTGCTCAGGGAGCAGTGGCACCAGTTGAGGGCGGCTCTGGCGGGATCCCTGCCCAGCCTATGATCGAAGAGGTCCAGGCCGTCCTGAACCTCGTGTGCGACACTACCGACATCGCAGGCGCCAAGGGCCTGCTCAAGACGTGGCATTTGCGAAGAGGTCGGCAAGGTCTCCAAGATCTGGAATGCATGCAGAAGCCCATCTAGCTCATGTTGCGCTGGCGAACTCTGTCTGTGGGCAAAGGCCTGGCCTCCGAATCCAAGGACAAGATCAAGATCAAGATGGTGAGGGCGAAGGCCGACGAATGCAAGATCAAGGCCCTCTCCGAACACATGGACGAGCTGACGGTCACCCTCGACAGCTTCAAGACGGGGTGTGATGAAATCGCCAAGAAACAGCAGCAACAGATGGCACATCACATTACAAAGCAGGACGGCACGATGAATTCGCGAACGCCAGCACCTGCGAGCTGCAGCCGACGACGAATCATGCCATCACCGCGCAGGACGACAATGTGGCCAAGTGGAGGGCAATGGTGAACGGTGTCAGGACTCCGGACATCCCCACAAGAGCATCTGCCCACGCACTTCGACGGGCCGCAGGAGGAGGAGGAGGAGGAGGAAGAGGAGGAGGAGGAGGAGAGGAGGAGGAGGAGGAGGAGGAGGAGGAGGAGGAGGAGGAGGAGGAGGAGGAGGGGGGAAGGGAAGGGAAGGCAGCCGCATCGGAAAAAAAGGCGCGGGCGAGCGGGCCGTGGAGCCTCGGACCCACTGGGATGGCCCTTATGGAAGGGCAGGGTTGTTCGTGGCGTGGCGGGTGGCGCGGTAGGGCCTCCCTGCGCCTGTCGATTGTGTACATGCCCTCCTGGCAGTCCCCGCTGATTCTGTAAACAGGCAAGCGTTGGTGCTCGTACTTTTAGGTGCGTCCTTGTTCGACAGCGGTTCCCACATCGCCAACCCAGAAGCACACCTCCAAAGCTTCGCTGCAATATTTGTACTTGCCCGTGTGTGCCTTGACGGGGGGTATGAATACACTTGTTGTTCTCCTGTGGCGTCGCAAGACGGCGGTGATTAGATCGGGTGGGCGTCGCGGATGCCGATTGCCATGTACCTGGTCTCGTGCTTGACGCCGCTGGTGACCTCATACGTGAAATACTTCTGCATCACCACCAACATTCGTTCTCCTCCTCCTCCTCCTCCGTCTCCCCCTGGTCCACCTCACCCTTTGGTGGTGCCATGGCCAGGTGGTGCGAGTGCGTCAGCTATGGTGCAATGTGGGTGCGCTCCACCTGAAGGACAGAGGCATCGGCCTTCGGGATTGGCCCAAAGCCGAACAATCTATCGCGCCCCCCCCCCATCATCTCGGAAAGACGTAAGACTCGAGTTAGGGGACTCGGGTTGGCCAGACGGGGCCAGCGTAAAAATGACGCGACCCAACTCGAAATTTGACACGGGTTCCTGCTGCACACATCCCACGAGAACTAGACCGTCACAATTCAGGACGGGCTCATCAACTAGCGTAGGCGAACCAGTGTTCTGGCGCACTCGAGCCTCACGTTTTTCCGATCCCCCCTGCTCCTCACACCTTACCTGCCTCGCTCCATCCCCCCCCCCACCTTCCCCCCAAGCAGCCACGGCCTGCTCGAGACGGGACTCCCAATAGCCGCTCTGGCTCTGGAGCCGGCGCACCTCCGCATCCAGCAGCGCGCGCTTGCGCTCGACCTTCTTGGCGTCCTCCTGCGCAAGAGGCAGGGAGGGCACGGAATGGAGGAGGAGGAGGAGGAGGAGGAGGAGGAGGAGGAGGAGGAGGAGGAGGAGGAGGGACTGGTGGAGGAGGAGGAGAAGGGGAAGGGGGACAAACAAAGAGTACGGGGGAGGAGTATCGGAGTGTCGGCTCCCCGACAATGCTAGAGTTACGAAAGGTCGCCACCCACGGAGCTCCACGGAGAGAGGGAGGAAGGGGTGGGGTAGCGGGAGACAGGAGAGGGATGATTGTCGGACGCTGGGCAAGGGCTGCTAAATCCGTGGCTTCTAAAATCGACCTCCGGGAAGTTGTCTTCGTCCTTCCGGGAAGAAGCCCGTTGACTGTTTCGCGTGCCGCGCCTCATTCCGGGAAGCTGCTTTTTCCTTCCGGGAGGGCCGTTTTAGCAGCCACGGTTTTAGCAGCCCTCGCCCAGCTTCCGAGATTGGCGAGAGGAGGAAGGGTTTGAGGATGTTGCGCAAGCCTGTAGAACCAAACGTTCAGATACCGCTACTCCCTAGACCGCTCCAGGGTTCGTTCTGACAAGCCTTTTTGGGCGAATCCAGCCGTGGCGACGCGGGGCGGGCAGCGGTATCGGCATATCTTCCTCATCTGATGCTCAACTCTCCCTCGTCTTTCTACTCTCTTCCGTCACCTGCCCCACACCCTCCCTGATGCGCGTCCCTTCCCACCCCCGTTTCCGTTTCGAGCCCTTCCTGTCCCTCCCCGGGCAGCTGTAGATGTGGCGATCAGTGTACTGCCGCCCGCATAAACAAGTCGCGTGCGCAGCAGTAAAATTCGCACCCCGAGGCGGGTCACGTGAACCGAAGGGTAGTTCGAATAGCCGAATAGCCGCGACAATAAGCGTAACAAGTCTCGCTCTCCCGAGAACCGAATGGGACACGTAAGTAAGAATAAGGAGAGTCCTCAGAGCAGGAGCTCTGGAAAAAGGAGCCACTCTCCAGGCGGGACCAGACGGCCGTTCCCTGGCAGCGGAGATAAGCGACCAAGAGCCCCAGCCGAGGTAACAGTCCCAAGGGTGGACGCTAGAGCAGCCCAGGGGACCGTAAACAAAGTCCCAGGTCTGGACGAGGAACCATCTGTACCCCGTGGCCTCACAATGCACCTCCACCAATGAGCGAGCCTTGTTCATCATGCGCCTTTCAGCGGGGAGGAGGCACCTAGGTAGTCCGGGGGCGATCCTCTAGTCCTGAGTCCTGGTGGACCCAACCATGTCGAACAACAGGAGCCCGAGTGGTGTGTTTTAGATTTACGACCAAAATAATGCCCGCAAGGCAAAACAACATGCCAAACGACTGCTTCGTACAACTAAGCCAGCGAAATAGGCCATGAAGGTTTCAGGAGCGAAGTTGACATGTCCGAGATCAAAATGAACGCACTGCTGGTAAACTTGACACGGCTTTGGAAACAGATGAAAGCGGCCTAAGCCTGTTGACGACGCGACGTTACTTCAGGGCGTCTAACGACGAGGCCAAGGACCCCTTCCACGTCCAGCCCGCCTCTTCTCTCCCCTTCCTTCTCCTTTTCATATTCCGATTCCCCATATTCCCCTCATCCTCCTCCTCTTCCTCCGTATCCCCCTTTTCATGATCCTCCTCCTCCTCCTCATCCTCCTGCTCTTTCTTATGTTCGTCCTCCTCCTCCTCCGCCTCCTCCTCATCCCCCTCTTCATTCTCCGTGGAGGAAAACGATGAACAGGAGAGCTGGTTGGTGCAACAGAAGCCTGCGACGCCACAGGTCCATTATCAACCCCGGATCTCTGCTGGAGCGTGCTCTGCTAGTGGTTCGACGCGAAGCGAGCGAGAGGACGCCTCAAGGGCGAAGAACATCAACATCCTCCTAATCGTACCACGATAGGTCGGGAAAAATGAACAGTAGCCAACAATGTTCAGACATAGTCGGAAAAAGAAGCAACATTGTCCCCCGACTATGTTCTGACCACTTTTGCATATCCCTCCTGTAACGGGACAGGCCCGACGTAACACCACGAGGCACATCGCACCCCTCGGCGCCTGCTGCTTCCGCAGGCTGCGCTCCACGGCCGCGCGCTGCTGGGCGTCGCGGACCCGCTCCGCCTCGGTCAGCAGCGCCGCCTGAGCGGGAGCGCTCCCCAGCTGGAGGGGAAGAGCACGAGGACCATGCCCAAGACTGAGCGCGGAAACGTCTGCGTCGATCTGGATCATTGCTCATCTCTGTACTCGTCAGTGAGTAGGTCATCCTCGCGAGTCGGCGACGGCCAGCGCGGACCACGACCGATACTGGATCTTGGACAAGATCCCGCAACACCTTGGTCAGTCATGGTCCTCGTGCTTTTTCCTCGACCAACGAAGCCGCCAACCTCGCGCCGAGCTGCCCAGGCCATAAAGTTCTTCCTGAACTCTCTGGTAACAGCCGCTACCCAAAGCCCCAAGTAACGGTAACGGTGTGTCTGTGTGTGTCTGTGTGTGGGGGTGGGCGCCACGCGGGGCTACGCCGATGCCCTCGTATCCCCTCCAGTCGGAGGAGGAGGAGGAGGAGGAGAGGAAGGACGAGGAGGAGGAGGAGGGGGAGGAGGAGGAGGAGGAGGAGGAGGAGGAGGAGGAGCTAGGGGTGGGTGGGGCCCCACGTAACGGTAACGCTTGGGCGGGGTGGGGCAAGCCGGGGCGGGGGTGCGCCGCGATCGCCGCGGTACGTACGCGCGCGAGCACCAGCAGGAGGGGGGAGGAGAAAGGTCCATGCCCCCCCCCCGACACATACGCACGATCGTTATGCGTTACCCGCGGGGGGGGGGGGCGGGAAGCACCCGTGTGAGCGGAAGACCGGCGCGTGCACCAACAGCTGAGGCCGGAGCCCAAACTCAAGCGCACAGAAAACGGAAAGAGCCCACCCTGCAGGTAAAGGAAATGGAATGGGGGGGAGAGGGACAAATGGGTTGGCCCGGGTACCGACTGTTACGCTTACGTCGGGCGTGTCCCCCTACAGGGGGATTTTCGACGAAAAAAAAAAATACCTCAAAAATACACCAAAAAGGCAAAATAACAGTCAAAAAGTAGTCCCCAGACTATTTTTGGACAATTTTTTAATAATTTTTGGTGTATTTTTTATTTTTCGTGAAAAAAAACCCTGTAGGGGGACAGGCCCGACTTAATGTTACGCGCGCCAGAGGGCACCGGAACCAGCAGCAAAGAACATCCACCCTGACCTCCCAGAGAGCTTTGTTTTCGCACTGGAGGCCTAAAACCCTAAGAAGCTGAGCGAAGCAGCCTCAGACGTAGAGTAGCTTTGGGATAGGTTTTTACGTCGTTGGGCGCCCGAATTATCCGGGGTAACTCGGGTCCGGGGTAACTCGGGTTTGGATTCCCGGAAAAGGAACCCGAGTTAGCCCTGACCCGAGTTACCCCTGATGATTCGGGGCTCTGGACGCCCGAATTATCCGGGGTAACTCGGGTCCGGGGTAACTCGGGTTTGGATTCCCGAGAAACGAACCCGAGTTACCCCTGATGATTCGGGGCTCTGTTTTTAGCCCTCCTGGAAGGTCAGGGCGCCGAGACCTCCGCGCGCCGCGGGCCGCGCGCGAGGCGCGCGCGAGGCCCCCGGAAGCCCCCGCAGGGGGGGGGCGCGGCCCACGACGCGGGGCGCGGGCTTCTTGGCGCCCCCGCGGGCTGCCTGGGGAGACGCGAGGAGCAGGGAGCACCAGCCCCTGATGGTCCGCTACCGAAAATTTCCGGTAGCGCTCCGCAGAGATCGGTCGCTACCGAAATACCGAAATGCAGCGCCCAATACCGGTATCAGAGCGTTCCGAAATCCGCTATTTCAACGCCCTCAAACGAAGATCCGGTCGCTACCGAAATTCGGGGTGCGTCGAAATCGCTACCGAAAATTTCCGGTACCAGACCATCTGGGCAGGGAGCACCAGCGCGCTCGAGTGTCGGGCCGGGCGAAAGGGGGGGATGGCAAAGGGGGGGTCTGAGAATCAGCTCACGTATAGCTGATTCTCCCGGCGCCTCCCGGCGCCGGGAGCGGCCATGTATCGAGGAATTGGCCCCTCGGCGAGGCCGAAACCAGCTGCATGCAGCAAATTTCGTAACCCCCCCTTTCCCAATCCCCCCCTTTCGCCCGACCCGAGAGTGCTAATGTCGAAGGGGCCCGCGCACGCGCCCTCGGTCCCCGTTGCCTGGGGGCGGGGGGGGGCGCTGGTCGCTGCCCGAGAGAGCGGACCTTCCGAGGCCCGCGCCTGCCACATCGGAGAGCAGGGGGCGGCACGGAGCATCAACTCCCGAGGGTCCGCACGCATGTTTTGGACGCCCGAAAGAAAAGGAGGAAGGAGGAGGAGGAGGAGGAGGAGGAGGAGGAGGAGGAGGAGGAGGAGGAGGAGGAGGAGGGGGAGGAGGAGGAGGAGGAGGAGGAGGAGGAGGAGGAAGAGGAAGAGGAGGAAGAGGAGGAAATGGGTACGGAAAGAATGGGTACAATGCCCAACAACAAATGTTGTCCCAGACCAACAGCGGCCGCCGATGGGCAGGCGGCCTTCTGTCTCAAGTGGACACAGGCCGCGGCGGCGCGGACAGCGAGTCCTGTTCAAAATGAACAGAAACTGCTGTTGGGCATTGTACCCATTCTTTCGGTACCCATTTCGGGCGTCCAGACATGTCCTGGGTCTTGAGCAAGGGCCGACCGTCCCGGCATTCCTATAGCCCTACCGCGAAATGTTCTCAGAGCTCCAAGAATGTTCTAATAACGAGACCAATACTCTCAGGCCATGAACCCGATGTGATGAAACAAGACAGACTCCGCCAGAAATGTTCTAAGAACATTTCGTGGAAACCACAAAAGGTTCTTAGAACATTGTTTGGTGGGGCTATAGGCGCGCCAGGACGCTTCGTCACTGCTTGACCCCTTGCCTGGGGGGGGGGCGCTTGTCGCTGCCTGAGAGTGGACCTCCCGATGCCCGTGCCTGCCATATCTTGCCGTCGCCCGGACGTCCACTTCCCGCGCATTGTTCGGTCTCGTGCGTGTTTTTTGCTGGCTCGATGGTCCAGAATGGTCCTTAAGGGTCCTCGCCGATAAAAAGAATGCACACGTCCGAGCGATGCCAACGCCATATCGAAGAGCAGGGAACGGCAGTGAGCATAAGCTCCCCGAGGGCCCGCGCGCATGTCCCGAGGGTCGGCGCCGGGCCCCCCTCCCCTGGCGTGGAAGCCGCGCGCAAACACGCTGAGGCATCCGGGCCCTGCCCCACGGGGCCTCGCAGGCACGCCACGAGCCAACGTATAGGGCAGTTTTTAATACATAGGATTCTTAAACACATAAGATGTGGAATACATGATGAGTGTATGAATAAATGAATGCATGAGCTCATCGTTGTTTGTAGTACTAAATCCCTGCATTTTGAATACATGACCCGCACGCGGAGCATGTATAAAAAACGGCACTGCATAGTGTATTGTCGTCGGGCTGGTTCTCAAGGCGACGGGCGTCGAAACACACACACACACACACACACTCTCATAGATTCCCCAATCAGCGGCTGCACCGAAGGGATCTTGACGGAGATTGAAACACTTTTGGCGAAAATGCCCGGCCGATTTCGGTAGGCGGCCGGATTCCCGGGTTCCCAGTTCTGGGTTCCTGGGTTCCTGGTTGCTGGCTCAGGGCCGATTTCGGTGGGCGGCGGGGTTCCCAGGTTCCTGGGTTCCTGGTCGATCTATTTATCGATCGGTCTCACCGTCGATCTCGTTACCCACCTCTCTATCGATCTCACTATCGATCGCACGAGCGATCTCACGATCGATCTCACAATCGATCTCACTGAATCGCCTTCACTATCGATCTCACGATCGACCTTATTATCGTCTTTTCTATCGCTCCCACTATCGGAATCACTATCGATCGCAAACTCGATCTCAATATCCATATCACTAAGTTTCAAAACATCCACGGCATTTCTCTGGTGTGATGTATATACGCTATGATTTGGCCACCATGTGCACCTAAGTGGTAGGCAAACATCACATCGTATAATGGACATGCCCCTGGCCCCGACAACGCGCTCCGCGAGCCAGGGGAGGCGCTGGGGCGGCGCCGGCGCCGCCAGAGGGCCCCAGCGCCGATACAAGAAGTCCGCGCGGGCCGCCGATAATCAAGGTTTATGATGTTCCTTTCTTTTCGGATCTCACAGGTGACACGCAGGGTGGAAAAGAAGGTCGCGTCTCGCGCGTCAGGCTGGAATAATGCTGTCGAGAAATGTATTGGATGGAGATTCCACTCCTCCTTAGCATGAAGCAGACGTGTCCTGAGGGAACCAGAGCCTGGACCCTAGGTTTTCCCCTGGGCCAGCCCTTCCGACTGAATTTAGTGGCCTCCTGGATAGATCGGATTAGATTGGGTCGGAGGTTCGCGCCGCATCGCCGATACATCGGCGATGCATGTGCGATGCATGTGCGATGCATCAGTGATGTATCCACGATGTGCCGGCGATCCATCATCGACGTCGCCGATGCATCGCCGACGTCGACGTGAAACAAATCGGGTCCCACATCGAGCCTAATCGGCGATGCATCGGCGATGCGGCGCGATCCTCCGACCCCGTCCACTCCGACCCCGTCTAGGAGGCCGAGAGTCAGGTCGGGCATATCCCCCTACAGGCGGATTTTGGACGAAAGATATCAAGTAGTCAAAACACACGTCCAAAATGCGCAAATCGTTCCCAAATAATCAATAAATACGTCAAATCGCAAATTCCCAAACGCAAAATGCGCAAATCGCAAATTCGTCAAAATAATCCATATCAAATACTCAAAAAATACGTCAACAAATGCGCCAGATCGTTCCCTCCTGTCGAGGGACAGGCCCGACTGAAGCCTGGAGAATCGTTGTTTCACGGTCCTGGGGCCTGTGGAGGCCCCCGAGAGAGGTCGAGAGTCGAGTCGCGCAGTCCCTCGCCCGGCACGAGGGCGAGCCCCCTCGGAGGCGCGCAGGGACAAAGACACAGACCGGCGCCAGCGCCCCCGAGAGGACGGTGGGGAGGAGGAGAGGGCACGGAGGCGAGGGGGGCGGGGCGGGAAGGCGAGAGGACACGAGGGCGAGAGGACACGAAGGCGAGGGGTCCTCCTCCTCATCCTCCTCCTCCTCCTCCTCCTGCTCCTCCTCCTCCTCCTCCTCGTCCTCCTCCTCCTCGGCAAGGGGGGCGAGGAGAGGACACGGAGGCGAGGGCGGGACAAATCTCCATCAACAACCCTCTAGTGGATGCCAACAGGACCCTGTGCTTTTGTTGATGCTTCGCGATAGTGGGGCGTGATCGGGAGGGGGGGGGGGGGAAATCGTCCCCCCGAATCACATCACTGCGGGGGGCCTCCGGAAGTCTTGGGAGACCCTCGAAGAGTCCGCGGGACATCTTCGCAGACGTGGGCAACATAGCGCGACGTGATCCCGCGGGGGCGGCGGGGAGGGAGAAGGCCGATCACGGAAGGAAAGTCTCAGCTCCAGCGACAGGTACAGCTATTCCCTCTCCCCCATCGACGAGGACGAGAACGAGGACGAGGAGGAGGACGAGGACGAGAAGGAGGAGGACGAGGAGGACGAGAACGATAAAGGTACAGCGAGAGGAACGCCTCAGGACCCCGCGAGAGCAGGCTCCCGCGAAAGGTATAAAGCCTCGGGACCCGTTGCGCTCGGGACCCGTCTGCTTCACGGCGGCACTCCTGGTCCTCCCTCTCCCCCCACGACGAGGACGAGGACGAGGACGAGGACGAGGAGGAGGACGAGGACGAGGAGGAGGAGGACGACGACGACGAGAACGATAACCACGACGGCGACGACGACGACGACGACGACGACGACGACGACGACGAGCCCGACGGGCCCGCCGCCTCCGCCCCGCTCCCGTGCCAGCGCGCGCCCGCCGCCCGCCGACCACGGCAGGAGAAGGGGGGGGGGGGAGGGGCTCCCTCGTCCACCTCCCTCCCCCTCGCCCTCCCCCTCGTCGTCGTCGTCGTCCTCCAGTTCGTCGTCTTCCTCGCTCCCCTCATCCTGCTCTCCATCCCCCCCCCCCCGGGTGGGGGGGCTCCCTCGTCCTCCTCCGTCCCCTCTTCCTCCCCCTCGTCGTCGTCGTCGTCCTCCAGTTCCTCGTCTTCCTCCCTCCCCTTATGCTGTTCTCCATCCCTCCCCTTGGGGGAGGGGGGCTCCATTGTCCTCCTCCCTCCTCCTCGCCCTCCCCCTCGTCGCCGTCGTCGTCGTCTTCGTCGCCGTCGTCGTCGTCGTCGTCGTCGTCGTCGTCGCGGCCGTCCACCAACTCCTGGTCGTCCTCCTCTCCTCATCTTGTTTTCCATCCCTCCCCTTCGTGGTTCTCCTCCTCCTCCTCGTCATCTTCGTCGGCCTTCTCGCTTCCCCCCTCCTGACAGCTACTCGATATGAAGAATACTCTCCAGTATCCCAAAACTCTGTGCGAAAGCTGTCCTGCTCGGCCCGCACATTTTTTACAATGATAAATTATGCTTATACTCCATCTGCTTGCTACAATGTATGCTTCATCTCTGTTTTTCCATCGGAGTGCGTTCGGTGTTTCAGAATCGCGTTCCCGCTGCATCGTTTCACTCATGTTAGGATCGGCGCTTTGCTCCCGTCGCTCAAAATGGTGTTCTCGCCCAAGCGCGGGCCACTCTTCTGAACCCGAGCCCTTCTTCATCGTTGTCACCCCGTTCCGTTCCCCTCCCCCGCCTTCCTCTGGCCAACCTGTTCCTGCCGCTTCTCTCGCTCCTCCTTCCCGTTGCTCCCGTTGCTGCGGTTCCTGATCGTCCCCTGGCCAACCCGTTGCTGCGGTTCCTCATCGTCTTCCTCCTTCCTCATCTCCTCCTCCTGCTCTTCTTCGTGCTTCGTCGTCATCGTCCCCTCCTTTAATGCGCGCAGCTCCACACTGGGAGGCCCTTCCTCATTTTCTGGAGCGCTTTTCCGCATCGCTCGGACTGTCGGGCGAGCAGGGGACGAGCACAGCCAACAGCGCAAACAGGCGGGCACATGTCACCGCGCCGCTTGTCGTCGAAGTGGACAACGCCAACACCACGGCAAACCCACGGAAAACCCTGCGTCCCGCGCCCCAAGGAGACGCAGCAGACATCACGGCAAACCCCTCGGCAAGCCCTGTGCCCACGGCGGCGTTTGCCCTGGTGGCCGAGGCGCCCTCCCCAAGAAGGCAGGCCGCGCGCGACGGCACATCGCGTTTTGAAGCGTTGCCTTGTGACGTATGCAAGCACATCTCCTGCCTCCACCCCGTTCTTCCTTCCTCATCGCCCATCCCCATCGCCCCCCCCCCCCCCGCTCTACGCCACCTCGACCTCCCCTGCCTTTCCGCTTCCTTCCTGCCTTCTTCCCCTGCCCTCCCCGCCACGGCGGGGAGGGCGCCCCCGCGCGGCGAGGAAGGCCGATAATTAAGCAACCTGCGGCAGCTCCGCGGGCCCCGAAACGAGCGCGCAGTAGGCTTAAGTCGGGCGTGTCCCTCTACAGGAGGGATGTTCAAAAATAGTGAAAAAATAATCAGGGGACGATGTTTTGGACACTGTTTGAATATTTCGGGGCATTCGTTGGCTATTTTTAACGTTTCGCACAACATCCGCCTGTAGGGAGACATGCCCGACCTCACGGCAGGCCCCTCCGACGGGCTCGCGCGGAGGCAGGGAGAGAGGGATGAACGAACACCTCCCCGCTTCCCTCATGTCGGCGGATAGAGAACAGCAGACGCGCACCCAGAAGGGCTGGGTGGGAGGGGTCGGACGTCGCATGGCGCGCGAGCGCGCCCCGGGTCGCCCCCCCCCCCCCCCCCCACCCGCCTCTCTCTTCCCTCCGTTCGCCTCGGAGGCGGGGGGGGGGGTCCTGAACCGAACGGGCCCCGAGAGGGGGGGAGGAGGGCAACTCCGTCCAGGATCGGTCCCCAGGACCCCTCCCGTGGTCCATGCGCAGCTTTCTCGCCCCGGATCCGTGTTTGACGGTCCTGGGGTCCGGAGAAACGGCTTCCCGAGTCAAACAAACAAAAAAACGGCTCGCATCCACCACCTCGAACCTCGCCCCCCCGCTCCTGCTCGCCGCAACCAGTGCTGGGCCACCTCCGACCCTCAGCCGACTCCAACTTTCGCCCCCCTCCTCTAAGCAGCCTCGTACTGATATCGATCCGTGGGATCGGCAAGCCCCAAACGATGACAATCTTAGGGATGGGATCTTAGAAACTGCAGGAGCCCCTAAGATCGGCATCGAGATAAGGCGATGCCAAGCATAGGCATACAGGTATGCTTCAGGCTGGTAACCCTCCCCCCCCGCTCTCCCGCCCTCCAATCCGCGGACGAGAAATTGAGCAGGGACCGACCGTCCCAGCATTTCCATAAGTTTACCACGAAGTGCTCTTAGGACCCAACCATGTTCTGAGAACAGAAAAGATGTTCGTAGAGCATAAACCTGGTGTGTGAAACCAGGACGGTCTCAGCCAGAGATATTATGAGAGTATTGCGCGCAGACCACAAAATGTTATTAGGATATTATTCGGTGGGCCAATAGGCAAGCCAGCATGAAGTCGAGCTTGCCCCTCTACAGGAGGAACATTCAAATAATAAGTAAAACAATAGGGTAGGGATGATGTTATGACTGCTCTTGAACACGATGGGAATATATTGGTTTGCGTTTTATTTTTCCCCCAAAATCCCCCCGGAGGGGGGCAGGCCCGACCTAAAGCCAGCTCGCTTCGCCACTGCTTGAAGAGAAAGGCGGCGCAGTCGGCCGGGCGCCTTGGCGGCCCAACCCTCCGAGAAGCACCGGCACCGCTGCTCCTGGCGGGCCCTGACCAGCCGCCTCGGCGACGGGAGGAGGCATCGTGTGCTTCCCCACTGCCCGTCCCGATCATATCCTGAGCATTTTCTGAGGGAGGGCTCAGGGTGAAGTCCATAGGGCTTTTGCACCTCGAGAATCAATCCGTCTTGTGATTCACCTCTTGCAGGTTCAAGCCTCGAGAATCCAATCGAAACGGCATTTCAGATTTCACCCGTTGCCCTCCACCCAAAAGAAAATGCTCGTCTGCTCGTCTGCTCGTCGGCTGGAGGTGGTGTTGGGGGAAAAATGGAGAGGCTGTCGTCATCTTCCATCCCGCAGCGCTCCCAGCAAAGTCCGTTCGAGGCAGACCCTTGACTGGATTCCTGGTCCTGCCTGCGCGCTGGTGTAGGCTCTTGCTGACGCTGCAGGTGCTTCACATCCATAGCAATCCGAAGAAAGGAGGAGGAGGTCGAGGAGGAGTTTTCTATTTTTTCCCCTGGGTAGAACAATCATTTGTTTATCCGAAGAGGAAGGAAACAGCCTCTTCCTCAGCATCGAGAGCATGCCCTGGAGGCGGCGCTTCCTGGGCCTGTCCCCGAGGCCCCTGGGAGGGGGCCTCCTGGGCCGAGTGCCAAGGCGCAGGTCCCCGAGACCCTCCAGGAGGCCCCAGCAAAAGCGGGCCACGAAAACCACCTCCATCCTCGCCCAGCTCCCTGGCCGCGACGCGGCGCCGCATGGCCTCCAGCGCTGGGGGGAGCTCGCCCTGCTGGGCAGGGAGGTGAACAGGACGTCGCCGAGGCTGCTGGGTCTGCAGCAGCCGCAGGCGATCCACATCTGAAAGGACATGGAGGACCACCCCTGGCGCACGATCGGACTGGGGGTGGAGGCCTCGCATCATTCTGCCACGACGACAACGCGTGGCAAAGGAAAACCAACGACCTGGACATTCATTCTCGAGTCGACGGCTGAGGCGATCAGTACTATAAGCCCCACAGCGACGACAGAAAACCAGAGAGGGACCGCTCGAAAGACGAGTGAACACCAAAGAATGGCCCATCCTCTCTCGGCCCCTCAAAAACTTAAAGTTCCTGCGTTTCCCAGGGCAGCCCCTCATCTCAAGCCTGGCCGCACGCGTGTCGACTGCTCGGGCTTGACAATCGTGACAGATGAAGCTACCCTGAGTGCCTGGGACCGCCGTCCAGGCATGCCAGCGATCAGCGCCTATCTCTCGGGGTCGGGGAACCTTTGGGCGAGCAGGGAACTGAGCGAAAGGGAAAAGGGGCAAAACCGCCCCCACGACTCTCGCCGCAGCTCGGGCCCTGTCGATCAGCCGATCGAGATAATCAAGGCCCCCCTGACTATCCCGAGCATGGAGCAATACAGCATTCTTAGCATATAAGTCAGCCGCTCGATTCGCGAGGCCGATCCGCCTCTCCGACGGCGGCAGAGCTTCGATGACTTCGAGGCTCCGATGAGCAGGGGTGTGAAACGCCTGTCCAATGAAAGGGGCCCCTTCCAGCTCAAAGAATCCGCGTCGGAGGCCCGCGTACTTCGAGCGGCTCGACAAAACCTGAGACTGACTCTGATTGTGCAACCGAACAACGCCAAGGCAATCAGAGTGAACCTGGACGGGCTGACGAATAACGAAAGCGGGAGCAATAATTGCCATCTGTTCAGCAGCCTGAGGGGTCTGAGGCAGGGATGGCCAGACAGGCCCATGGAATCGCGCTACTATCTCCTCGGACCCCGACCGCAAATACACACCAGCATAGGCCGCCCTCGAGAGCTCACGGATGGGGCTTCGCGTGCACGACCCATCCACGACGACGTCGACGACATCTCCCAACGCCGAGAGGTCCTCAAGGGGCCGGCCATCCTGATAAAACACGGCAGGATACAGCTGGTCAGTCGGGGGCTGGAGGTAGCACGACGGATGCTTAAAAGCCAGGCGGGTCCACAAGAGATCTTCGCGCCCCGCCTGCACAGCCTCCGCGATTATCTCCGCGCCACACGTACTTTCTCTGGCCTCGACCACCTCAGGAGCCTGACAGCACCACAACCTATGATGGAGGCCGTCGGCCCCAGCGCACAGAGGGCACTTCCCATCAAACTCATATCCAAGGGATTTCAAACGATCACTAGTGAACACAGCCTTAGTGAAACAGCTAGCTATAGCATACTTCTGACGTGCACTATACTTCTGCGACCTACACACACACGAGCGCACTAAATCAGCACATACGCGTGCACTATCACCCTGCATGCCTAAGCTACGTGCCATATCACGCTCATGCTGTCTCTGGACGGCCTCACGCAATAGGTGCTTGATGAGGGAAGGGGAGGTATACAGTAAAGAGAGCTCGACTCCTCGATCGTCGATCCACTCCGAGAAGTTCTTGGGCTCCCAGCTGACCCTCTGGAGGCACATCAACATTCGGACGATCGGGCCCTTCGTCTTTCTCCAAGGCATCTCAGGATCCCATTTATCGTGCACCTGCCGAAACATATCTGCAAGCTGCGGCATAGTGAAGAGAGATCGCTCCTGCGCAACCGCCGTCTGCCAGAGCGTGGCAGCCCACTGCACCGCGGGCGCCACAGCAGCATCAGCAACAGGGTCGCCGTGAAGCACACACTTCGCCACTAGCGAGGCCCCTCGATGCGAGGGCGTCTTGAAACTGAGGAGCGTAGCACGAGCCCGTCGGAGCTCATGGTCGCTCATGCCCAGCACCACACTGCCGTAGGACAAGGCTGGCTTCGAGCCACCAGTGTGAATCTTAGACATCCGATGCTGTCCATGTGCAAGCCATCGTCGAAAACGCAAGACTCGATGATGTCGAAGCTTGAATTGCCGAAGCCGAAGCCGTCGCTTACGAAGCCCCCCTTTAGCCGACCGAGATTGCCCTGGAGGAAAGTCGACCCCAAGGTTGAGCGACGCCGACGTAACCGCACCTTCAGGCAAGCCTCGAACGCGAAGTTGATGAGCCAGAGATTTCGCGAGCGCAGCCGAGCTAGCTACCGTGACTGCCTTCGACTCCGAGATATCCGCCTTAAGCTCATGCTGAAACATGTGATGGAAATCGGCTGCTGCTGCAGACACCGCTCGAAGTAGGCCAGCTTTATCCCCCGTCCCCAATATCGTGTCGTCGTCGATGTACGAGGATAAGCGAATCGTCGGGTGTCGCATCGTGAAAGCATCGAAGGCCTCGAGCGCATACACCTTCACGAAAGCATCGTTGAAAACGTCGCCTGCAGGGAGGCCGCTGGAGGCGCAAAGAGCCACACTGTGAAAAGCTGGACCTAGACGAACAAGTCTGGGGCACCTCCACAGGTTGCACATAGTCTTAACGATGACCTTAGGGATACCACATCTATACGCTCTATCTCGTAGAAGGTCGAGCTGGAAGGATTCGTAGTACTTCTTCCCGTCCCACTGAACTCCCAAGACAACCTGATCCCTGGTCTCCGCCACCTCCGAAAGGGCCGCCTGGGCCCAAACGCAAGCTTCAGCACTCTTACCCGCCCCAAAAGCCCAGTAGTCCCTCTCCGTTTCGGCAAAGAAGGGGTCCAGCATGGGGCGGCGCAGCCTTTCCCAGACGCGCGCAAAACTAGCGAGCAGTAGGATAACACGACGCCCCCCTGTGGGCTTATATATAAGCGGAAAAAACCATCCACATAACATGCCGCGGGAAGAGCCCAAGCCTTTCCGCCGCTTCGTACAGAACACCAAGGGTGGATATGCCAGCATCTCCCAGCAGACAGATGTGCTTCGGATGGAACCCATCCAAAGTCGACGCCGTGAACTGACGCAACTTTCTGGATGCACTGCGGATCTCATCAATCGAAGCCCGCGGAAAACACTCACGATCAGGTACTTCAGCCGCAGGCGGAGAAATCGATGCATGCCACTGTGCCTGCAGCGCCTCCGCCTCACTGGCAAGAAGATCATCAGGCCGACTCGAGAATGCACCCGGAGAGCGCTCGACGATGCTGGGTTTCCAGATCTGCTGAAGCCGAGCGATGTTATGCATAAGCTTAGCTGAGCCTTTCAAGGCCTCGTCGCACCACTGGTTCCACGACTGTGCACGCAGCTTGGCGGCTGCGTTGGCGGCGTGCTCGAACTCCGCGACCATGAAAGCTGAAAAGGACGAAGCTTGATCCCACCATGGATGATCCAGCTGCGAGGGGTAAGATCGAAGCAGGTCGCGGAAAGCTTGCACCTGCGCATCAAGTCGAACGCCCAGTCCTTCTCCTAGATACTCTTCCGACAGGCACGCATGATGTAGCTCAAGCCCTGCAGCATTCAGATGCAAGATGGGAGCCTCTTTGATCGTAACTTCGAACTCATGCCAAACAAGGGTATAACCACTGCCATCCACGACAACTTGAGACATCATCAGCGGCGCGAAACTTGCGCCCAAGAACTGGCACACATCGGCGAGCCAAGTATCGATCTCGAGTACCCGACCCCAAAAGGAAATCCAGCACCTGTGCAAGCTCCATTTCAGCGTCCTGCAAGAAAACGGTCCAGGCATGGTTGAGCTTCTGCCAGGCCGCGCGCACCTCATCATGCTCAGCAGCATATACAGCATGGTCAGCCAGATCTCCGGCCGCACTGCACGACCGAGGTGCACGTCGAGGGCCGACAGGTGGAAGAACAGGAAGCCGCACATGCGAACAATAGACCAATGGCTGTAGCTCCAATACGCCAGGCCGAAGGTGCAGTCGCACAGGTTTGCGCGGCCCTCCATGCCACGACTGCAAGACCCGAACTTGATCAACTAAGCGTACCATATCGTGAGAGCCAAGGAAGTAGTCGATCGTCGAAGCCGAACTCGGCATGATGCAGGTGTGCCGCGTGGGGACCACCGCAATCAATCCAGCCTTGCGAGTGAAGCCCGACTCCTCGACGGCCTGAGGCTCCACATTCCATTCAGCTCCAGCTAAGATGGTGCCAGACGATTTAGTCGCGCTCGAGCCCAACATCTTTAAGATATGCATGTTGGTCGCATCAAGGCCCACTGCACAATAAAGATACGCCGAGTACGC